CTCTTCCTCTTCCCCATTCCCTCCACCACCACACCCCTCCCTCCTTCCCCATTCCCTCTTTCTCCTCCTCTCCCCCCACCCTCTTCCTCCTCCTCATTCCCTCCACCACCCCCACCCTCCCTCCTTCCCATTCCCTCTACCACCTCCCCTCCCCCCACCCTCTTCCTCCTCCCCATTCCCTCCACCACCACCACCCTCCCTCCTTCCCATTCCCTCCCCCCACTCCCTCCCCACCGTCTTCCCACTCCCCCACTCCCTCCCCACAGGAAGCACCAGCGAAGGTAGTGGTGTCTGTGGTGAAGCGAGGAGGAGCGGAGGGCGGAGACCAGTGGACCTGCTCCCTCAGGCTCTGTCAACCTCACGGACGCTGTAATAGGTATGGACTGCTGAGTCGATTGTGGATTAAGTGATTTAATTATTTATTTGTTTCTTTACTTATTTATTTGTATGTTTATCTATTCATTCATTTATTTTATCATTATTATCATTATCATTGTTATTATTATTTCTCTATTATTATTATCATTATTATTTTCATCATCATAACTATTATCATTATTATCATCATCATTATTATTATTATTATCATTATATATTATTATTATTATAATCTCATTACAATATATATTATTATTATTATTTCCTTATATGCTCATGAACACACACACACATATATATGTGTATGTGTGTGTGTGTGTGTGTTTGTAGAAGCCCTAATAAAGCTGTAATAATGCCACTAACATGTATATTGCAATGAGGAGCATTCTGCAATAACACCAACGATGCAACTGATGTAATACAAGGGAATATCAATACAGAAACTAAACTTACTACAATAAGTAATATTACACCCTAACTATATCACATCCTCTGTCTTCAGGCACTGTCGCGGACTAAGAAAACAGGGATTGTCTCAAGAACAGACCAAAGAGGTTGTGTTGCCCAATGTTGCGTCGTTGCACCATCTGCAATACAGTGGAGACCCGCCCCTGTTCAACGCGGAATATGCAGCTTATCAAGTGGCTTTTGTATTGGAGGAATCGCCCTGTCACAAGGTCACAAGCATTCTTCTGCTGGTTGGCTGAGGATTATGAGCAGATTGGGGGAGATATGTGTTGTGTTTATAGTGATATATGATGGATATTACTTTGGTATAAGCACAGATTCACATGCAGACAAATCAGAGTCGAAACAACTAGATACACACATACATACCGTGTGTGCGTGAGAGAGAGAGAGAGAGAGAGAGAGAGAGAGAGAGAGAGAGAGAGAGAGAGAGAGAGAGAGAGAGAGAGAGAGAGAGGAAGAGACAGAGAGAGAGGAAGAGACACAGAGAGAGAGAGAGAGAAATAGAATGAGAGAGTGAGAGAGAGAGAGAGAGAGAGAGAGAAAGAGGAAAAAACAGAAAGAGAGAGAGAAATAAAATGAGAGAGTGTGAGAGAGAGTGGAAGAGGCAGAAAGAGAGAGATAAATAGAATGAAAGTGAGAGAGAGAGAGAGAGAGAGAGAGAGAGAGAGAGAGAGAGAGAGAGAGAGAGAGAGAGAGAGAGAGAGAGACAGACAGACAGACAGACAGAATGAGAGAGTGAGAGAGAGAGAGAAAGAGAGAACCTACAACAGAATCACACATAAAACAAATATTCCTTATTCTCCCCCACCCTTCTTCCTTTCCCGTTCTCTTGCCCCTTCCTTTCGACCCCTTTCATTCCCCTCTCTCCTTCCGCCGCAGATCTTGACCGTGAACCGCACCGAACCGCAAGGCTGGATCACCGTCGGACCGCGGTTCTTTGAGCTGGTTCAGTGCGAGTGGTGGATCGAGGTAAGGAACGGCGGAACGGACCAGGAAAGGACAGAAGGAAAGAACGTGAGAAAGAACTTGAGTGTATGTGTGTTGGAAAAAGGGGATTCTGTGTGTGTGTATGTGTGTGTGTATGTGTGTGTGTGTGTGTGTGTGTGTGAACGTTTGTGTATGAAAACGTTTCTGAATGGGACTGGAATGAACGCTTGGAAAACAGAAAATATACGAAAAACTAATGAGGAATTCTGCCACTGACTTCGAACATAACAGTACAACGAATAAATATTCTCTTTCTGTATCTCCGCCTGAGTTTGTCTCGTGCAGTATATGTTTACATATGTATGTAGGTTTATGTTTATCTGACTAGTTAGATAGATAAATAAACAGTTAGAACAGAAAGAAAAAAAATGTGTGTGTGTGTGTGTATGTGTGGGTGTGTGTGCGTGCGATTATGCATGATGATAAAACAAAAATATGCCAGTCAGCAAACTTAAACTGAAACACCATTTTTGTCTCGGACCCACACTAAATGGCCTGTGTGTGCGTATGTGTGTGTGTGTGTGTGTGTGTGATAATCTCTCTGCTTGGGTATGCCTCTGTGTGTGTGATTATTTTATTGTGTGTATAATGTGTGTGTGCTTGTGTGTTTGCCCGTCCGTTTACATGGTCTTTTGCATGTTAGATGTGGCTGTTGGTTCGCATA